TGGAAAATGGCTGTTTGCAGCTTTGCCATGAAAAGCATGAGGGCGCTGGATTTCCTGAATGTACCGTTCTGCTGTCAATGTTCCTCGCACCACTACCATGAGTGAGCACCTGTCATACAAAATTGCTTTCTAGATCATCATACCAGCAGTGAGAATAGTAAGAAATATGATGCTCAACAATAAGAGAGAAATTGAAGCCCCCACCAGTGGCTCTCTACATAAACACTGTGATCATCCATTCCCAAATAAAACCTGAATTCGTCGTTAAGGACGATACGTTTCCAGTCTGTTGCAATCCATGTTCTCTGTCATAGCACCTCAACGAGCGAAGCCATTAATATTGGAGTGCTAATGGCAGGACGCTTAGCGGTTGCCGTGCATGCAAATTTGCCTCTTCTAGTCAACTACCAATAGTATAGAAACATACAGGATTCTGTAGCGAGGCTTCCATCTGTTTCTGGATGGTGGACAATGACGCCGTTGCAGCTGTTCGTACTTGTTTGACGATCAAACGATTATCTCTCATGGTGGTCTGTCTGGGTGTCCAGAGTCTACTGCTGTGTATGTGTGCCGTCACGTATCCACTGTTCCCAACACCTCATCACAGTCAGGTCAGAACGGCTCAGATGACAGGTAATTCGGCAAAACAGCCATCGTGTTTCCCTCAGCGGTCTTTCTGAAACAAGGTTATTACCTTGAAACATAATATTTTAACTGTATCATACGAGTCTGATTGACGTTCGAAGTTCTCCAAACAACAGGTACACCGAAAATTGTGAACACAGTAGGCCTCTGCAAGTCATTTTTTAGGATACTGGTATAACGATTTTAAGATACTCTGGTGGCATTACCTGGCATGCAGTCGCATCACACTTGCAATAATTTGCATATCTGTTTAAGACGTAGCTAAGTGTCACTTTTTCGCCTTAATTTTAATTTACTATACGGTTTTAAATTTACTATATTATTCACTGAATATATTCTCAATAAACAATTCTCGACAATGAAAAGTAATTACTACTATTCGATTTATAATCAATTTTTTTCCGTTTTATTACTTTTTCACTTTTAAAATAGATGTTATTTATAAGACATTTTACTTATTTAACATATTCAAAATTATTCCTTTTATATAAGAAAATTTCTATCAATGATTGTCATCTTTCAGAACATTTCCTCGCCTATCTTGTAAAAGATTTACATACAGCTGTAATTCTTTGAAATAATTTTGATCATGAAACAGCATGAAATTCAGTTTCATAAGCAAAATACAACATTAATTTCATAATTTGCGTAATGACTTTTTTTTTCTTTTTTACTTGTATTAAAACGTCTTTAATATTTTTATATTCAATTTTCAAAGCAGATACGACGTCTTATTTACTATCGCTTATTCTTTTCACTGTTACTTGTCTGTTAGTTGAGTTGGACGATAGACAATTTAATAAAATATTGTAATGCCGTGTCGATGCAAAGAAATAAACATGCAGATTTGGTACAAAATCAAAGAAATGTAATGCTTTTGGAACATAACTCTGATGCGTGATTTTCGACTGGATTAAAAGAATACAGCAAACAAAATAGAAAGAATCATTTATATAGATATATCGTATATATTTTTTGACATTTTAACAAAATTATTTTAAATTTTTTGGGCTGCAATTCGTCGTCCATCCTTCTCGAGAACGAAGTAAGACAGATGAAAATCGAAATCAGGTATGGAAAGCTTATGAACCTGATGTAATAAGCTTACGTAATCTTTTAAATTAAAATATGATTAAAAATTGCATCCTTGCATTGTAATTTTATTTAAATTTAATTTATATCAAATAATAATTTATTTATTTTATAAATATAATATTTTCTAAATTTAGGATTACATTTTTCTAAAGATATAAGAATACTATTCATTAATAATCGGATATAATATCTCGGAATATCGTGTCGATAAGAAAAATTCCACACAGTAATATCGATATTACAGATACAATTTTAATATTTTCAATACTCGTAAGTTTTTATTGACATCTTTTTTTCAAGGAGTTATTGAATTTTCACGTAATGATTTATTCATAATAAAATATGTAAGATATCTAATAGTATATAAACTAGTTGGAAGAAGGAAAAAAATATACATAGAACTGTTTTTTCGATTTATATTATTCTATTTTAAAATCCTAATTCGATTGTCACACTCTTTTCTTTCACTTATGTATTGTACAGTACATTTTATGATAATAATACTGTAAATAAAATAGGCCCTACTGTATTTATTCGGGTATGTTTGCATATTTTAAATATACTGGAAAGATATAAAAATTTTTAAATTTCCTGCTTATATATTCAAATAGTCTTTCATTTTTCGATGCAGACACTTTGAATTATTTTTAGTTGATAACAGTATTAAGAATTAGATAATTGACTGTTTATAATTTTATATATTTAATTGTTATGGAGAAATAGATAAAACTTTATAAACTCAAGTTAAATGTTACTTCAAGTATAATATATTTGCGTTAAGTAGTAATATTTAACTTGAAAAATTATATTTGAAGTTTTGTATATATTCACGTTAAATAAGCAATGAAACAATTCTAATTGATTTATTTTATTTCTTTAATTTAATAAAGTATTTGTTTTTTTATATATCTTTATGCTTTTAATAAATAAGTTCAATATATATTTGATTAAATGATTTTTACTCTGATTACTATTCTAAAAATCATTAAATTCACATAAGTATTCTAAAAAGTTATTCTTTCCTTTATAATATACATTTTGATTATGTTAAACTAAGAAAAGAACATTAATTTTATATAAGAAGAATCCCTTTTAATACATTCCTTCAAGATATTTACTCTCCTTCCATTTGTTTAATTAATGTGACATTGATACGTCTCATTACCGAAAATCTTTTCTGATACGACGTATTGTTTCATGTAATCTTGAGACACATTCATTTTCTCCTAATAACCTGCATATAGTCTTCCGGTCATTGAAACCAGTTATCATTTTGTTTGATAGTTCTGAAAATAATATATAGACAGACAAATATAAGTTGTTCCAAAAGTTGTCATGCTGTTTGCTTCTAACGAATTGACTAACATACAATTCTTCTGTTCCAACTAAACAAAAAAAAGGAATAATAATAATAATAATATATTTCGATCAACTGACTTTTGGGACACTATACATTAATTGTTTCTCATAAGATATTAACTATTTCGTGCTTGCTACTCACTCCCCGTGTAAATTATCGACTTTTTAATATTAATAACGTTGCTCGATATGTTAATTATGTAATAATCTATCAAGTTTTCATTTATACTTTAAGTAATATATTACTGATGAAATTATCATTAAGTACTTAACTCTGTTTTTATCCATATTTTCATTGTTTATGTTAGAAAATATTATTACTATTTTTTTTCTTTACTGTAATTGCATTTTCTTTTAGTAATCTCAATGCATTAGCTTCATTGGTACTTATAATTGGTTTAGGAAAAGGAGACATTAGCTGAAACAATAAGAAAGCAATCATTGTATTGTTTATAGACGTGTTTTCTTTTCTGTTTCTTTCTCTTCTACGTTCCAGATTCAAAACCTCTTATTTAATTTGAAGGTCATATTATGAAGAAAATTTGTCAAAATATCAACAATTATATTAAATTTAAAGCAATAAATATAACTAATTTAACCGAAAAGTCAGTTTACACTTATCAAATGACATTACTTATTCTAAATTCTAAATAATAAAATTCCTTAATTTCTTCGTCTTAAAATAGCATTAAAATTAATTACAATACACTTAAGTAACTGAAAAGTCAGTTAACAATTTTAAAATTGAATTTTTTTTTAAATTAAAAATCCATTTTGAAATGGAAAAGAAACGACAATTAATACTTAAATACGAATTTTATAATTTGAAGTAAAACGTTTTCGAATAATAATGGTGCAAACTTTAGTAACATTTGCTCTTAAAGACGTCGATAATAGAACGGTTGACACTTAACTGACGAGTAGGTAAAGAAAAATTATACTCGTCATATATGGCACGTAATTTGTTAAAATTGACGTTTCGGGGTGTACTTTGATAAAATAATAAATCACAAGTATTAAGAATTGTACTTCTTTCTATATTTTGTATCTTTCATTGTCAGAAAACAGCAATAATCGATGTAAGATACAAGGAGATCTCGAAGAAAAAATCTATGTTGAGGAAGAGTTTTTGAGATTTTCATCTTTTTAATTAGGGGAGATCGGGGCAACTTCGGCATGCGGGGCAAGTTTGTCAAGCGCTTTTTTTAAAAAACAAATTAAAAGGAGACTTTGGTTATAGGTTAGGCAGTTGAGTTTTATTGGTGGCTTGTTGAGTGTAGTGTTTTTATTGTTCTCCAACAAGCGTAGNAAGTTAAGAAATCATTTTGTATCTTTTGTATAAAGAAAATTTTCAAAGTTAAACTTTATTTGCATCCTACAATAATTTCATGACACACTAATTCCATTCTTCTTAAATTTCTCGAGTAATTATTAAATATATAATGTATTAACTTCGGTTTTCTTTAGTTTAATGGAAACAGTGGTATATAATATAAATAATATCAATGCGCGTGGTTTTTTTTGAGGTGTAGATTTTCGATACACGAAAAAGTGACAACCGAATTTGAAACAATTTTATGAGAGTCTGTTGCTTACTTTGAAAGGAAAAATGAGTTATTTGTTAAACAAACCATAATGACAAAAACGCCACTACTTCAGTTATGTTGGCTGACTATGACATTTCTAGTACGAACCCGGAAGTGATTGATGACTAAGGCGGAGGAAAAACGGGCCACAGAAGCACAAGAACAGGGTAAAGATCCCATGTCCAGTTGGCAAAGATGGTGATTTATGATTGTTTGACGGTAAATGTTGTAACAGTACCACGCATGGAGTAAGTCGATCCGAATACTAACAGAAAAAAAAAATTACTGAGTAGTCTGTGGAACGAACAGACTTACCCGAAGTTCTTGTCTGTCTACCGTCAGAGCTCCACGAGCACGTCCATCTGTTCCACACCCTGATGACTTCTTTGTGTGGCTGTAGAGAAGAAAAGCAATCGTTTAGTCAATGATCGAATCACCTCGCCTTGTCAAAGGATCTCTCAAATCATTTCTACCCTGTTCTTTATAAGGCAATATGAAGAACTGATATACTTTAATCTGTTTTATTACCAATTTTCTAAATTTATGAAACTATAATCTGTTTTTAAAATTTGAAAGAATTTCTTTTATTAATAATAGAACTAATGACTTCTTAGAAATTTATTTAATTATTCATTACTCCAAAGAAGTAAACTTTAATGCTTTTATAAATTTTTAAGTACAAGTTCCATCCATTTATTATTGAGCTATAAGTAAATGATAATTTTAGATTAGGAGGAAAAAAAATTGGGGGTAAGAAAGGAATAATTATTTCTAATAAATCATTCGAATGTCATACTAAAATTGAAATATCATTTTCTTTTATTTTTTTTTTCCTCCTTTACTAAATTTATGTTAAATTTAATGGAAAGTCGTATTTAATATTTTATAAAACGAATAATAATTATTATTAATACATGGTGACAGAAAGAAGAAAGACTTGAATAATTTATAATCATTGATATGATATTTAAAATAGTTTCGAGAATTTAAAATCGCTGCAAATACAAAATAAGTTAAGAATTTTTACAAGATTATAAATCTTTTTTTCTGTAATATATACATTTTTTTCTTGTTTTTATTTTTAGAAAAGTGCATTTAAATTATAAATAATATTGTATCTTTTCTAAAGTTATTTGATCTTTCTTACTGTTAAACTGTATAAAAAATTACAAATTTTGTGTTTTTTTTTGTTTGTTTTTACCTTTTAAAAATGATTTTATGATAAAAGTATATACTGTATTTAAGTGTAATGATTAACAGATAAAAATACACGAAGTAAACTCTGCCATCTGGCGTTTTAAATATGAACTAATAACACTTTCATCACCCCCATTTAATACTATTTCACATTAATACATATCCTAATGTTTTTATTCTATGTCTGTATCAAAAATATACTTTTGAAAACACTTTATACATTGAATTTTCGACTTTGCTGAATGATTATTTGTAAGTTATATTTTTCTAGTNAACCTTAAATTAATTAATTAATATTTAAATATGGTATAAATTTAATTAATTTTTTTTTCTAGAAATTATGCAATTTCGGAGAAAGAAAATGATTTTAATTATTGATGTTAACACGATCCGAACACTTCCACATCTTTACATACCTGAAATTTAGTTTGATTTTTTTTATATAATTAAACTATATAAAAATATATAGAATAAATTAAAAGAATATAATAGTAAAGTATATTTGATACACATTTAAAATTTGACTCATCAAATGTCCTTTATGAACATTATCGATTCCCTGTTTGTCCGATGGAAAGATTTCCGATATTGACCATTCTCTGTGTACTAGAACATTGCCAAATAACGTAAAATTTTTGGCATGATTCTAATTTATTTCTTAACTATTTATTAAAGAAATAATTTAACGATAACTTTTAATAACATATCGAATTATCGCCGTTTAAAGTATTCAGTTATAAACATGAAGATCCCCTTTGAAATTTCACGTAAAAAAAAAAACAAGTATAGAATTTAAAATTTAAGCCATATACAACGTATTCCTCTGTAAGTAAAAGTTAATTAATATTAATTAAAATTTTACAATATTTTTTTTTCAATATATAGATTATATAACAATAGAGTTACACTTAAGACAACTTGTTTTTGTAAAATTTCAAATATTTAAAATTTTTTTACTGTATTTTTTCTATTTTGATATTTACTTTCAAATATATATTTCGATAGAAGTCGACTTTTATAAAATCAATATGATAATGCAGATTTTTAAAGATATAAGAAACCAAACCGTTATTGTCTTCAACGGAAAATCGCATAAAATCGATTGAAAGCAGCAGTTTCAAAATGGCCACTTGCTGTCACTTTCACAGTTGAAATTTGCTGTTGGCAGTCGTCTTTCTGATCTTTTTCCTTCACTCACCACGTGATCAGAAAGTTAAAAAATGTTCTACTTTTGTTGCCTTTGGTGTAATAAAAATTTTCTTTATTTATTACAGATTTAAAAAAAAAATGATTATTGTTAACATTCTAAAGCTTTATAAAGAAAGAGTGAAAGTGCGAAAGTATTTTTACTGTCATTTCTATAAAGGGTTCTTTGTATAATTCTTAATATCTAGATTTAATTACTCAATTATATCTGTCAATGAAATTTATATTGATATAACAGAAAGAATATTTCCGAAGCTGTAAACTGCGCTGTAATTAATTGAATTTAGTATGAGTTTATTATATGAGATTATATTTCTTTGTCAGGCGATTGTTCGATTTAATGTAATGATACTAGGAAATTTGCGACATAAATTCAATAATTGAATAAAATTCTTATACTAATCGATGATTTTGATATGTATAAACTTGAAATAAATATTCAAATTAGAAAATTAGTAATAGTGTTTTAAGCAACGTATGAAATATTATTATAAAAGGCTTAAATTATGAAGGATATGCAATACAGAAGCATTGTTTGTCAAAGAATCCTCTTCGGGGATGGACAAGCGACTGCTCACCAAGCCATTCATTATGCGTTCGGTTAGGTTGTAATTAGGAAATTTCCTCCACACGGAATGACGTCACAGCTGACGAAGTATCCAACATCCCTGTTATTCCCAGCAGGAGGTAGTCTGTCAGAGCACCAATTATCGTCCAATTTAACCATGCCGTTGTCATAGACACTACATTATAACTTAAAGATGGGGACACCAAACTCCCACTATAGTTCCCACAAACTTTTCTCTTTTAAGAGAGATTATGTAACCTATCATGTGTATTTAACCGCAGTGTTAGTCCGTCTAGAGATTGCTTTGAATATCAATCATAAATTTTCCCGAAAGTCAAGAACTGTAAAATTCTTAATGATGCTCAAATTCTGAATTATAAATACAAAAATATATGTTTGAAAAATGATAAATGTCTTATTATAATATGTAAAAATTTAGCTTTTAAACTATTTTTATTTATTTATTTATTTTAACCTACACAATTGAATATTTCCTTTAAATCATATTCTAATATTTAAAAAAAAATCCCTTTAAAAGTCGGGATTTATCTTAAATTTGGGCATTTCTTCTCACTCTTTAATAAAAATTTTACAGTCTATCTTGATTAATTATACTTTCTTTTTAATAAATTATTACGGTTTTTTTTCTCTTTAATAATTTTAAAAAATATATTTACTTATAATTATCATCAAAGTTTTTAATAAAAGAAAAAAGGTTTTTTGTGAGGGGTGCGTGTTAAATTCGAACACAGAAATCTTCAACGTATTTTTATATTTAATTTTATACAGAAATAACATTAATTAAAATATTAATAGTTTAATATATTCTATAATATTCAATATAAACATTTTTTTTAAAGTTTATATTATGATCCATTAAAGTATTCCTGACACATTTCTAACTTATTACACACTTTCGGCTTAATGTTACTTTTTAAAATTCGAAAAAATAAATCAGTCAAATGCAAATATTTCCGAAGTTTTTCTTTAAGTTATAAATCAATCTACCAACATAAATCCTGTCAAATCGTAAACAAAAATCTTACTTCTTATTACAAATAAAACTTAAAATATTAATTTAAACTTTATATTTTCTTTAGAGTGTATGAAGAAAATCTTGAAGAAATTAATAATTCAATTTTAAAATAATAAAGAACGTTTTCATTTAATATTTTAATTAATAAACAATTCTTTTTTTTTCGTGTGAATATTTTAAGTTCGATATCCATTTTGTTATATATATATTTCTTTAAGAATAATTTTAAAAAATCGAAAAGAAAAATCATTGTATATCGTTCAGATATATATTTAGATATTCAATCGGAAATATATAAAGGNATTATATATATATATATATATAGTTTTTAAGTCGATCATCTCCAGGTGTTTATCACAATGAGATGCAGTTATATATTTCTACTTTTACATTATTTTTGATAAAAATAAAGAATAAATGTTTAAAATATATATATATATATATATATCTACAGTTCACATAGAAAAATGATACTTTAAAAATCGCATTTTCAACAATTGTATCGGATTATTTCCTAAAGAAGAAATCCGAAAATACTTTTTCGGTTGTGTTCTTCATTCGCTTGGGTACTTTTTAATAAACCCATTAGAGATTTATTATGAAAAAAATTCTTGTAATATTAGAACTACATATGATCCTCATCCAGAATATAAAAAAACTAAGAAAAAAAATAATAATAACTTTAGTAATAAGCCAACTGCAAGAGTAACTGAAACTGGTCTGAAACTCCAGACTTGGTTTATAATCTCCTTACCAAGAGTTCTATTGAGAAAGACAGTGGGAGAAAAATAGTAAAGAGATAAAAAAAATAAAATAAAATAAATAAAAAAACACTAAGAAAACATTCACCTGAAGGTTGTTAGTGTGTGTCATTTTATCGCGTGACGTACTTATATGTCTTACGAGTTTATGGGTTATTTTATTAGTACAACTGATTGAAGAACGAACTTTCACTGTTAAATGAATGATCTTAGAATTCTTTGTGAAATGTTTTCTAACTTGTGACGACTTTTTTGCGAATGGAAAGTTATAAAATAGAATTGTTTCGAGAATCAAGAATCAGTTGATAAAAGAAACAGCATTTTTATCTTAAATTATCAGTACGATAGCGATCACAGTTTAAATTTTTACTTCTAAAATAGCGTGTAATTTTTAAATCGAAGTAATATTTTAACATTTAAAAATGTGTTATGTTATATAGAATAAATAATATACAGTAAAACCGGTAGAGAATGTTACTGTAACTTTTTATTCTATTTTATAAGCAATGAAAGAAAAATGTTCCGATTTCCATATATTTCTAATTTAAAACATAATATAACCATAAAAAATTTATTGTATATATTTTTCTTTTAATATTTTAAACTATATTTACTTTATCTTAGCATAAATAATGTTTTCTATCTGTA